GGTGCACCAAATGGTAAGACGCTGAGAAAGCCACTGGGACACTATACATCTTGGTTAAAGAGGTGTGATGAGTAGCAGTAGGTCTAGGCAGTTGGATATTGCTCAAAGGAGGAGAGGAACTCGATTGCAGCCAGATACAAGAAGTGATACTGCTCTTTGTCTTCGACCATATTTTGTCGCTCAGTTCGCAGCAATTTTACCTGTAGGAAGATGAGTATGAGACACCAACTCACAGTTTTGCATCAAACAAACAGAAGATGAACAAACCGTAGTGAAGACATCGACAACGTGCTCTAATCGCATCCTATCGATAATTATTGCTAATGCAACAAATACACCCGTACGACCAGCGCCCGAAGAGCAGTGGACAACTATCGGACCGTCGATTCCAAACTGAGTCTTTGTCCGATGGACCTTAAATGTTTCCGCTAGATCCACAACACAGTTATTCCCCTTCAAAGTGATACTCACCTGTTGTATCAAATCTAAGAATGTTTCTGCCGTTTTAGGTGCACCTTGTTCAGGCCAGTCCGTATATTGGAAATGTCGAACAGTCCGAGATATTCCAGTCTACAAAAACAGGTTTAAGCACTTCACCATTAGTGATGGTAGTTATTTGTTTCATTAGTACCTGTACGTCATTGAGGCGGAATTCACGAAGAATATATTCACGCATGTTATATTCGGCAATTGGTTCGACAACCAGCTGCCCAACTTGAGCCCCTGTTTCCTGTGGCCAATATTCACAGCATTTCTCCTAAAACATTGTTTCTAGTTTGTATGAAAAATTCAAGAATAAATCCTGATATTATGCCAACTTACCCTACCCATCTCCCACGTTTTTGTTAACATAACAATGATAGCGCAGTCGTGTTCCCAAACCATTCTCCAAAAGTCGGAGACAGTTTGATCCGTTGGAGCTTGTGATGCAATGTAAGCACATCGTTCTCTGCAAGGATAGATGCAATCAAGATGAATGTAAGTGAAAAAGCATCTCTGCGAGACTCACCGGTAGCCATCAACCCAGCTGGCATTGATGTAGTCACTTCCTTCCACACCAGGGATTATCTGCATAATAACCCTATTGCTATCGTAAGGTACTACTGCCGACTGTCGATTTTTGTGACGATTCGAGGGAAGGCTCGCAACGGAACATCTTGAGTTGGCCCACTTCAGAGTAGAGAGATGCTGAACTTGTAACAATGATAGTTGCAGATAAGAAAAGGGCCCAACGAGAATAAATCTGTTGACTAGGCCATTCAAACAAAGACAAGACGATTGCACCGATGAAATGCCTACCCTAAACTCTAATTCCATTCCTGCTGCTCCCTCCATCGGTGCCATTTGTTGAAGT